TTTAAATGCTTTCGTTTTATCACTCACACATTGTTTTGTTAATCTCAAAATTGAATCAATGTTTAGTAAGACTTTGTAATTCTATATTTTTTATATTCAAATAAATTCCTTCTTGCCAGGTTTATATATCTTGACAACATACAATGGAAAGAAGAGTCGTTGTTTTCTCGAATGGACATCTTTCAGTGTGCCGAAAAATACGGGGTTGTACAATTAGCGGACCAATGTAAACGGGAAATACAAGACTGTATACAGCGTCCGTTTAACTACATTGAAGTTTTTAGGTACTCGAAACAACTTCAGCTAAAATATGTGTACAATACAACTTTGTCTATAATAGCTACTGAATTTGAAACTGTAGTTAAAGAAAATAATTTTATGTCACTTACGGCAGAAGAATTAACACTTTTTCTTCAGAAAGCTGATTCTATTTTGATTGATGAACTTACCCTCTTCAAAACGTTAGGTAAATGGGCTAGCGTTCAATGTGAATTAAAAAACAAAACTCCAAACGGAGAGGAAAAAAGACAGGAACTTGGCCAGTTGTTATTCCAAGTTAGGATTCCTTTAATTCCACTTCAAACATTTTCTGATGAAATAGTAGGCACGGGAATATTAACAAATCATGAACAGTTATCATTGTTTAAGTATTACAGTGGTGTTTCAAAGTTTGAATTCAGTGTGTGTGGGTTTTGTGTCAAACCAAGACGGAAAAAAAATGAAAAAGGACAATGGACAGGTACAAAAAGACGTAGTTACATTGAAAATTGGTAGATATATCTTAGGATATTACGTGTTTACTAACCTTGAAACAAAGGCTGTATTCTATCGTAGTAAAAGTTCATGAACATGATTTGTTATGATTTTTTCTTAACTGTTTTTGTTGGTATATAAGTCATTGTTGGATGGAGTTCCTGTAATTCATGTGTTACCATGCATTCAGGCTATATTTATTCACTTGTAAAACGTAGTTCAAGTCACGTTTATCTCCTTAGTTTGTAGATGAAGATGCCTTTAAATACAAGTTTTCATCTGATTTAACATGATAAATCGGGTCTCTACAAGTTGTTTTCTTCCCGTGCGATATGAAAATAATGGTTATACAAGAGAAAACATTGAATGTTTGACATCAACATAAAATGACACCTTAAAAATTGTATGACATTTCAAACAAACAATGGCCCGATCTTGTTTAATGACAGAAAGATATACATACTCAGTAGTTTAGATTGTACAGGTTGAATAGGCATTTATGTTCTTAAAAGCAAATAAATTCTTCTCAATTTTCCAACCTTATTATACTAGTCAACAAAAGAAACAATACAAGGCAATGTATTTTCCATATATAATGAAATTGCATGGATACACTGTACCAAGGTAAATAATTGCCCAATTGGTCTAATATTTACAGAGTGTTATTTTCTTATCAAAACCATTTATTTAAGACAATTAATACGCGAATTTTTGTTGTTGCAATTTTTGTTATTTCAAAAATCGTATTTTCACCAAAAAATTCAAAAATCGATGTTAGAACTTAAAACTTTAAACTTAAACATGGTCTGCTTAAAATTTTGAATGCTTTTGCAGATATTTGAATACTTAATTCTCATTTTCGAAATTAAGTGCCGACTTTTGTCATCATTTTCCGCAAAATAAATTTGACCCCTGTGTTCAATAACACGGTATTTTCTCACTTTCCAATTTGGTAAGATTCTTTTAATCATATGCATTTGCTAGATTGCAAATGAATGTTTTTCAATGGATAATTTAACAGTTTTCCTATTTATTATATTTTATGATAAATTGGAGTTCAAACTTATGTATCGTCACTTTTGGTGACTAGTATACCAACTTTGTTGACTAAGATTGTCAGGTTTCCTGCCCAAGGTCGGTGGATCTCTCCAGTCACTCCTGCATCCTCCACCAATAAAAACTTACATCCACGATAAAGCCAATAACACTGAGAGTGGCGTCAAAACACCAATAATCAATCCATCGATAACTTAATTAAATGAAAACATCTGCTTGATTTGTACGTGTAAGTAAAATGATCGGCAGTGTTGCATTTTGAGATAAATTCTATTTTATCACAAAATGTTGATGTTTCATTTGTCAATATTTCGCTATTAGTAGTCGGTTTCGTTCAATTTTGTCACAAGAAGCTAAACAAAAACCATCGTTGATGAAATTATTGGCTTGCAAGACAATAATTAATCCTAGTTGGAATTCGTCTTCATGCAATCTTCAATTTGATCCTTAGCTGAGATGGATGACGCATGTGCTTAGCATGATATTAAAACGAAAGGAATGACAAAATTGAAAAGTAAAACTAGAGAGCCACAGGGAAAAACCATTGCGTTGACTGATTCTATCTACAAAAAAATATTCTTATACAGATGATTTTCATATTTTTTTAATCTGTGACATGAAATCAAACAGACCTGGAAAAATCGTCATTTTACTATAACACATGCTTGTCTGTGTATTTACATTTATATTTATGTATAACAGATGCCCAGTTTGGCTTCCGACCTGGTTATGGTACTACTGATGCCATCTTCGCTCTCAATTCTTTAATTTCTAAATCTTTGAGATCTGGTAAAAGATTTTATTGTTGTTTTGTAGACTATAAAACGGCGTTTGACATTGTCACACATATGAAATTATGGTTACGACTTATTAGATTAGGTGTAACTGGTAAACTATTAAATGTATTAAAATCTATGTATTCAAAACTTAAATGTTGTGTAAAATTTGATGGTAGTTTCTCAAATTTCTTTAATAGTAATGTTGGTTTAATGCAGGGGGAATCATTATCCCCATTTTTATATTCATTGTACGTAAATGACATGGAAATAGAGCTTATTAGTCAAGGATGTCAACCTTATGAGTTAAAAATGTTGAACTTGTATTTACTTATGTATGCAGATGACACAGTATTGTTCAGCGAAAATATTGAAGATTTACAAAAGATGATTAATTGTTTAAATGTCTATTCTAATAAGTACAATTTATTTATTAATTGCTTAAAAACAAAAATTGTTGTATTCAGAAACAGAGGTCAAGTTAAAGCAAATGAGAGATGGTATCTAAATGGAAATTCAATAGATATGTGTGATGAATTTGTATATCTGGGTATTTTATTTAGATATAATGGTTATTTTACATATACCCAAAAATCATTAGCAAACCAAGGTCGTAAAGCATTATTTAGTTTGTATAGTAAATTGCAGGATGACTGTTTTAATTTTGAAACTATGCTGTCATTGTTTGACACGTATGTAGCAAGTATTTTGAATTATAGTTGTGAAGTTTGGGGAAATCACAAATGTGATGATATCGAACAAGTTCAAATGAAATTCTTAAAACGTATACTAAAGGTGAAAGCATCTACTGTTAATTATATGTTTTATTGTGAGTTGAGACGATACCCTATGTTTATAGAAAGATATTGTCGAATGTTAAAATATTGGTTTAAGTTATTATGTACTGATAACTGTATCCTTAAATGCTGTTATGAAGAAATGCTTGAGAGATGTAATAAAAAACCAAACGACAAATATAACTGGGCCTGTCGAATTAGAGACATATTATACATGTATGGGTTCCAGGATGTATGGTTACATCAGGGTGTTAAAAATATGGATTTGTTTTTAATTGAATTCAAAGATAGAGTAAAGGGTAGCTTTCATAGTGAAATGAACTCATTTTTTGAAGATTCGCCAAAATGTATGTTGTATAGATATGTATTTGATCCCAACATGTTACAATTTTATTTAGATCATGCTGTAATTTATAAACCATTTATTTGTAAATACCGCATATCTGCTCACTGTTTGAATATAGAAACTGGTCGATTTTATAATATTGAGAGACATCTGAGACTTTGTAATATGTGTGATAAACAAGTTATTGAAGATGAATATCATTTTATTTTAGTATGTGAAAAGTATAATGAACTTCGAAAGAAATTTATCAAACCATATTATTGGAGAAAACCTTCGAATTTTAAACTCGTACAACTGCTATCTGTTCATACTGTAAAGGAACTTAACAATTTAGGGAAGTTTTTATATCTGGCCGAGAAGGTACGTAATTAAATTCATTTATAAATGCTTAATATGTGTTATATTTTATCATACTCTGCTGTGCTGTTATATGGGTATACTTACTGATATGATTATTTGACTAATTGTTTAAATGTAAATATATTTCACTGATGTAATTGAATATTTGTAATATGTATATTCTATAAGTTGTATTGCTTACGAATAAAAGATTATTTTGTTTGTATGTTATGTTATAGCGAGTCCAGACATTGCAAATTGCTTCTTTTGGGGCAGGAGATTTTGTTTTTTTTTTCGGATTGATCATTTATTTGCTTATTTTTATCCGCGTGAAAAATACGTTTTCGCTTTTTTACTCATTTGTTTCCGGCGTTTTGTGCTGAAGGTTATTCATTTTCATCATGTCTTGTGGGCAAAGTCTCCCTTCTTTATTTTTTTTTCTCCTTAATCTCCGCTTAGTTGGTACCCAATTTCCGGTGGCGGTGATTCACAGTGAATACCCCTTTAACAAGATACGCTGTACTCAACTAGTCACTAAGCAATAATAAACTACCACACTTAGAGTAGTTAGGACGTACAGTTACTACACTACTCAACAAAAAACAGGACAGAACTAACTTTTCGTCGTTTAAGAAACTTAATTCAAAAGCCTCGTTCGATAGTCAACTTCTAGAAATTATTTTTATGTAAGACGACAAAGTTGTCGTTCAATAACACAACAGACAAGACATGCTGAAAATAAAGTGCCACTCGGTGAATTAGACAAAAATGAGACAGAGGGACGCAGGTTATAATTCCAGAGCTTACGCTGAGCCATACAGATTACAGTAAAAATAATGCAATCAAACTTATCGAGTTTTTTGTTGAGGAAACAGGGCATGCATCTTTCATATATGTAGGTGCTACAGGAGTTTTATTACATATAAAAGGAAAGTCTAAATCCTTTTTTATGTTTATAAAAAACACAACAAATTATTAAATCAATTAATGTTATTATGACCTACTTAGCAAATTGCTAATAAAAGTTATTATTTTTTTCCATTGAGGTATTTCAGCAGTATGTTCATTATTATATGCACTTGTTTTCCATTTCTTCTTGTGCCAGAGATTGGTTACTAGGTATCTATTTACACCATCGATTTTCTACAGTTAAAGACCAACAAGTTTTTCTGAGAATTCCCATAACTTCTTAGCAGCCCCTTCATCTAAAGCTGGTTTGGAAGGAGCCTTTTCTGCACAGTCACTGAAACAATGAAACCAGTTCACATTAATCATAATGTTAAAAAATGTATACACAAAAAAGTCATGTTTGAATGAATGCTTTCAGTCTTTGAGTACAAGGCGACATATCTATAATTCAAAATTGTATTGACTGTAGATGGTATATTTCCATTTTACAATTAAAAGAATCTTAGAGTTCAAATGGTAATAAGTATTTCACAAGGCAGTTTGCTACATTCTGTTTAGTTTGTTAATGCAGTTATCTTTTCCGGATAGCTTGGGTAGATTTGGGGTAACCTTCAACTCATTAAAATGCTTGTATGTGTTTTAACATGTGGTCTGCATCTGTTGTTACCTTCAAACATTTGTCGATATGCTGTCATCATCTTGATGTACACCACCCAATTAAAACTCTATGCAACTTACATTCATTTATCTAACGAACATAGTATGTTCCGGTAAATGGTAATAATTTTAAACAGATAAAAATCACTTCGAAAGAGTTCAAGTCTACATTGATTGATTGATTGGTGCTTGCTTAATGTCCGGTGGGTGTTAAAGTCTACAAACTGATGGTGCCTGATGGAAACCTATAGTGGAAATTGAATAAGATTATATAAAATCAATCCGTGTAGGCGCTGGTGTCCCAAAATACGAATTTTGACTATATACTGTCCAATCTGATATCAACAAGTTATATTTTATCAAAAGTCTCCATCCATCAGTCTGTACTAGTGGTCTGTTGTCTTGGCCTTGACATGTTTGAACTTTCATTTTCTAACAGTGCATTAGCTGCCTCTATTAAAAGCTTCAGACATTATCTATATCTATATATTATATATCTTATACCTGTAATATTTCCCTGTTTCCTTATCCAAGGATTCTTCAACTGCACAGTAGATATTAGTTTGAGCTCCTTCATATGGAGTTTTGGTAAAGAGAGAATATATAAAATAAATCGGTTCTCTAATAAGCCTCTGTTTACTTCTCCAATGCCTTCCTAACTCTGTGTCAATAGCACCGGGATGTAAAGAATACGTTGTGACTCCTGTACCTACAGTTATAAAGACATTTTTAATAGTAACATATCAATGATAAATACATGTCTACTTATACACATTCTTACGAACTTTTAACAGATTCGGTCCATTAGTGTTGATACTAACAAGAAACATATTTCATTTGTGGTAAATAATTTTTGGTTTTTCTTCAAAGAAACATAACTCCACAAAGATAGTCAAGGTATAAAGAAAATACAAATTTTACTAAGACAACATTTTGATTTGTTTGAAAATGGGAACAACACTTTTTTTCAAAATTTGGTTCGTTTGAAACACTTTTTTAAGTTCCCCTTCATTAACAACTCTTAAACCCTCAAGACCAACATGCACTTCTTGCACTAGCTTTCTGTAACTGCGAGTACTCTTTGCTTTGTGCCGATCTTATGAGTAAAACTCTTTCCAACTGATTTTTACTACTTTTTTCTCATTGTTTGTCCCTGATTGAGGGTTGCTGCTTTCAAGGAAGCTATTTAACCAAGGGTTCCATGTTGTAAATTTGAGATCATTCACATGTGGAGTATGGGTTTGCCTACCCTTTCGGAGCACATGAAATCACCCTCAGTTTTAGTTCCGTACGTGCTGCTTTGGTTTTCTATGTTGTGTTTTGTGTTACTGTTGTTTGGTTTTTTTCGTCGGTTTTCGTTTTTCCCATGGCGTTGTCAGTTTTTTTTCGACTTATGAGTTTGAATATCCCTTTGAAATCTTTCCCCTTTCTTTTCGAAAGTTTATGGATTGATTGACTCTTATGAAATATTCGTGTCACGGATATGTTCCAATTGTAATAACCACAATCCTGTCCTTTTTCCTCGATAGTGAAATCCGAGAATGAGAGTAGACATCTTCAGAATTAAATTGCAGTTTTTAAGAATTCAGATCTGATCAAATGTTTTGAAATATTGCTGCCAGAACCGCAAATAAACAATAAAAATAGAAAGATTTTACGATGAATTCAAATCAACAGCTTCGTGCATCTCAAGGACTACTCTTTTCAAAATAATTATGTCCATATCTCGTTTGAAAAGATTCCTTATCAATTGCATAGTTCTACAAGTTAACTTAACAAAAGTATCTACCATTCTATAATCAAGACTAAGCAAGGTTGTCTTAAAAAGAAACACAAAACTATCGACTGAAATTTTTATTAAATTGTTTGTAGTTATATGTCAAAATTAGATGATGTGGTCTGATTGTCAATGAGACAGCTATCCACCAGAGTCCAAATAACGTGGGTGTAAGCAACTATAGGTCACCGTAGGGCCTGCAACAATGAGCAAAACCAATACCGTAGAGTAACCTATAAAAGACCTCGACATGACAAAATCTGAAACAATTCAAACGAAAAAACCAATGTTCCGATTTTAATGATCATATTAAGTCTGTTTCGCTAAACTTCTTACCTGCTAAGCGGGATGCCAATTCTTTCGTAAATAGTATATTACAAAGTTTGCTCTGTGTATAAGCTTCTTCCGCATTATAATATTTTTCCCTTTTGGCAATGTCAGCAAAATTCAGTGGACCAGCTATACATAAAGTGAAATAAACAAAACATAAATTTAACGAACTATAAGATATTTTAATGACTGATTATTTACATGTATACACTGGATATTAACAAGAATTCCAATGTATTGGACAGTAAAACAAACTATACCAACCAAACACCACATAGAAACAAGATGTTTGCTAACTTAAAAGATGACACGTTAACAATATATAGTACTAAGGTATTTGCTAAGAATTACATGTTATAAATATCTACTAATGCTATGTGCTAAGGATTGCACATTTACAATACCTACAAAGATATGTATATTAAGGATGACACGTTAGCAATACTCACTAAAGATATGTGCTAAGGATGACACGTTAACAATTCTCGCTTAAGACATGTGCTAAGGATGACACGTTAACAATTCTCGCTAAAGACATGTGCTAAAGATGACACGTTAACAATACTTGAACTATTTATATGTGCAAAGGATGACATGTTACATGTAGCAATACTCACTAAAGATATGTGCTAAGGATGACACTTTACGTGTAGCAATACTCACTGAAGATATGTGCTAAGGATGGAACTTTACATGTAGCAAAACTCACTGAAGATGTGTGCTAAGGATGGACAGGCTACATGTAGCAATACTCTCTAAAGATATGTGCTAGGGATGACATGTTACATGTAGCAATACATACTAAAGATATGTGCTAAGGATGACACTTTACATGTAGCAATACTCACTGAAGATGTTTGCTAAGGATGGACAGGCTACATGTAGCAATACTCTCTAAAGATATGTGCTAAGGATGACATGTTACATGTATCAATACTCACTAAAGATATGTTCTAAGAATAACACGTTACATGTAGCAATACTCACTGAAGATATGTGCTCATGATGGAACTTTACATGTAGCAATACTCACTGAAGATGTGTGCTAAGGATGGATAGGCTACATGTAGCAATACTTTCTAAAGATATGTGCTAAGGATGACATTTTACATGTAGCAATACTCACTAAAGATAATTATGTTCTAAGGATGACACGTTATATGTAGCAATACTCAACAAAGATATGTGTTATTATGGATGACACGTTACATGTAGCAATACTCACTAAATATATGTAATAAAGATGACACGTTACATGTAGCAATACTCACTAAGGTTATGTGTTATGGTTGACACGTTACATGTAGCAATACTCACTAAAGATATGAGCTAGAGATGATACGTTACATTTAGCAATACTCACTAAACATATGTGCTATGGATGACACGTTACATGTAGCTATTCTCAACAAAGATATGTGCTAAGGATGGAACTTTACATGTAGCAATACTCACTGAAGATGTGTGCTTGGGATGGAAAGGCTACATGTAGCAATACTCTCTAAAGATATGTGCTAATGATGACATTTTACATGTAGCAATACTCACTAAAGACATGTCATAAGGATGACACGTTACATGTAGCAATACTCACTAACGATATGTGCTAAGGATGGAACTTTACATGTAGCAATACTCACTAAAGATATGTAATAAGGATAACACGTTACATGTAGCAGTACTCACTAAAGATATGTGCTAAGGATGACACGTAAATGTAGTAATACTCATTAAAGATATGTACAGTACTATGGATGGACAGGTTACATGTAGTAATACTCACTAAAGATATGTGCTAAGGATGACACGTACGTTAAAAGTTCTCAGTAAAGATATGTGCTACAATTGTACTGTAAGGATAGCACCTTAACAATATTATACTCACTAAAGATATGTGCTAATGATGATATATTATCAATACTCACTAAAGATATGTGCTAATGATGATATATTATCAATACTCACTAAAGACATGTGCTAAGGATGACACGTTAACGATACGACTTGGTGCTGCTTTCTTTATCAGATCTAACAGTAGGTTGGTCAAAAGGAAATGGCCAATGTGGTTGACTCCAAACTGCATTTCAAGTCCGTCTTCTGTCTTCATGTAAGGACAAGCCATAACGCCTGCATACATTAAGAATCGTGTAAGTATAAAGTAATTGGTTCATTGATGTAAGTCCGATGCTTTTATACTGTCATGTCTGTATTGCGAATATACTTTTACAACTAAACGATTTGTTAACTACAATTATAGTGGTCGTATTTCACAACCGTCATTTCAAGTTATCATCATATGGAATAAAAATATAATTATGTACTATATTCACAACTGATTCAGAAAAAAAACTTAGACCCAATCTTACCAGCATTATTAATTAGTATGTCCAATCGTTTCTCTGTTCTGTGTATTTCCTCAGCAAATTTTCTGACAGATTTCAGTGAAGCCAGATCTAACTGTACCAAAGAAATATTTTTGCTGCCACTGATGCGTTTAATATCATCAACTGCGCTGTTTCCCCTAGTCATGTCACGACAAGCAATTATAACTTTGGCTCCTAAAAAGTAAACAGTTTCAAAATGGTCAAGTACAATGTTCTTGTACATATTCATACTAAGCTAACACTGCTTCTTTTTTACAACATCGTAACCAGAAATCTTATTCTGGTTGTTAGCTAAACACCTCAGGTGGGAAATTACATGGAAGAAGGGACATGTAGATGTTAATACAAAAGGATATTTATTTTTACAAATTTTGATAATGCATTACGACTTCTTGTTATGTTGCTCCTTATCCCTTAATGATGGCCAACACAATATTATCATTCCTTTTCTTTTGTAACAACAGATACCAGAAAGTGCTGTTACTTTTGATATGTTTATAATAAATTATTGCAACGTCATCAGCATTATCGTAGGATGTGTTAACATATTTTAAAACAAGAGGCTGTCAGAGTGACAGCAAACCGGACTTTCCTGCAGAGGTCGAATACTGAACAGTTGAGCAAATATGGACACAACATTTAAGCTTAAAACAGCTCTCAATTTAGATTGTGATTGAATATTTGACATAGCATAGGTTTGTGACACAAATTGAATGTGGTCAAAGAACTGAAAAATTTGAAATTGGACATTTACCTATTATGGTCCAATATCCAAAATCTAAGTACATTGTTAGAATCAGCATATCAAAGAACCCCAAGAATTCATTTTTTTATGAAATAAAACGAAGTTTAATTTAGGACCTTTTGGACCTCAATGTGGACCAATATGATAAAGGAGCCCAAAATCCAAAATCTCTAAATACATGGTTAGGTTCAGCATTTCAAAGAACCCAATAAATTCATTTTTTGTTGAAATCAAACAAAGTTTAATTTTGGACCCTGATTTGGACCAACTTGAAAACTGGGCCCAAAAATTCTAAATTTAAATACAGGTTTAGATTCAGCGTTTGAAAGAACCCTATATATATTTAATTTATGTTGAAATAAAAAACTGTTTAATTTTGGACCCCGATTTGGACCAACTTGAAAACTGGGCCCAAAATCAAAAATAAATCTGTCACTACAATTATAATTTTGTTAGTTGATAATTACCACATGTTTGTTATCTTGATAAAAGGTGGACATTATTGCATGAATAAATTAATAGTAAATACATTGTCCTAATCCACATACATGTATAAATGTGTGTATTTAGTTAATTGTAAAAATCTATTATACAAATTGTGTGTAGCTTTATAGGAAGAATAAAAATACATTATTATCTAATGAAAATGATATTTGCAAATCTGGACCCCCAAACAGGATCAAGTTAAAATTAAACATTAACAATCACAACAAAAATAAAATACCACATAACAACTGTGGCGTGACATCTACCTTCAAAACACACAACTTTAAAAAAAATAGTTATAAAGAAATGTTTGACAGCTCCTGAATAAAATCAATTGAACAGATACAATCATTGATCATGTTGATAGACTATCTATCTATATAATTATTAATTACACCATTTCTGTTCAAAGGGAAATAACTCAAAATAAAAACAAGAGACCAAATGACATAGAAATTACTTATTAATTACACCATTTCTATTCAAAGGAAAATAACTCAAAATAAATAAATCATATAATAAGAATCACTTTTGCAACCGAAAGGTCTACAACTCAACAACGAGAACACCTAAAATCGTGAAAATTGAACTTGACCTTCATTTAGTCACAGGAAACAACATATCTAAATTTGAAAAGATTTCGTCAAAGCGTTTTCATGTTAGTGAACGGACACTGTTTGGCAGCCGCCCGCCCGCCCGTCCGCCCGTCCGCCGTACATCCCCAAATCAATAAGCGATTTTTCTTTCGAAAATCCGTTTAACAAATACGAATCTCGAACTGGTTTTAATCGTTCAAGCATGTTAAACTGCAATTTACTTATCTTAATATTATATATAAGTAACAAATTTTCATATATTGAAAATAAGCTTCTTCTAAATTAACTAATATGATCTTTAACTATACTTGTAATTGTCTAAATATAATCTCCATTATAAATATCACTATCATGACTAGTCTACCTACAACGATTTATATCTCTTGTATTATCGATCTACACATAGTAGGTCGGCACAATCTGGCATTTTTGCGCTGATGCGTGTTACACTCGCTGTAACTGTGATGACAAAAATTGAAAACGTATATGTACGTTTCGGCAATACATTACAGTAAAGATATGTCTAGATTCCATTTAAATTATAAATTTAATAAAACGTACCCGGCGGAAATTTAACCTATGAAACTTACTTTAAATAAATTTAAAGTTAATATATGTAGCAATAGTGCCCTTTTCTAGATTTGGATATGTCAGTTTCACACGGGATGCTTAAAACAAAGATATATAACAACAGAGACGAAGTTTCGTTGCTTATTCTTTTTTTTTGGGGGGGGGGAGGGGGCAGTGGTGTTCCTCAGTATGTATATTCCAAACAGTTTAGCTGTACCTAAAGAATTCTCATTACGAACAGGATATCACATCTTGATTTTTACTGTGATATTATTAAAGAGCTCGTAAATTTGTCTCATAGGCGATCATACCAAATTTCTTATTTTGATATTTATAATTAATAAAATAGTATGCTTAAAATTGCCCCAAAAATGTTATCATTTTACCTCGTTTTGCCAGATCTATTGCTGTTTCTTTACCAATCCCTGTATTTCCACCAGTAATTATTACTGTTTTACCATCAATGCGCCTTTTCCCATAATATCTGGGTCCCTTCACATATCGCCTTATTCCCCATAACACAACACCTAAAATGAAATGCGGAAAATTTAAGATTAATTCAGTGCACTGTACAAGAAATATTACCAATTATTCACTACTTTTTGTATATTAGTGAAAAGTTAAAATAAATATCATCCAACTTATTACATCATTCCATTATGTAAATTTGCCCCAACAGTGGCAGATCCAGTATTTAGAAAAGGGGTGGTGAGCACTTTTTATATCATTAAAAGTGAAATATATAAGTTTAAGTATTGACGATGCGTTAACCTTTACTTTTTATAAGCCTCCATCGGGTCCTCTAACCCCATCTTTGCCTTGCCAATTACAATTTGACTATTTGAAATAGTGACGATTCTTTTGATTTTATCATTTATATAACTTGATTAGCACCACTCATATAATAAAACATAAAAAAAAGGGTAACAGCAATTACTGAAAGTATTGAACCGACCACACAAACCACCAACCCGGAATCCTTCGCAAAAGACGTACATACAAAGACAAACAACAACATACAACACATGGTCCAGATAGCCTGACTTGCACAGCCACAAAATGTGGTGGGGGGTCTAACAAGTTTCTAGTGGAAAGTACTCTCATTGGCAATCATTCCGCATCTACTTATTTTCATATTGAAGTGATCACAACCCCTCCCCTTTCTTTTTGCCTATCTCGATCATATGTCGTAAACGTTAAACTAAAAAACCTGCATATTCCAACAACCAACAGAAGGACTACCATCACAAAGTAGGAAATAAAAGACGGTACATAACTTGGAAAGCAGGGGGAAATGGATTCGCAACTACAGGAAGTTAGCTAGTCAAAGAAAACGTTAGCAGATGAAAACAGAATAAAGAGAGCACACGATGAAATGTCTCGCCTGCCTTATTGATTATGAATGAATTTTATGTTGAAATTCTTTACGATCGATGGTGGTCTTAAATGAGTATAAAAGAATATTAACAAACATAATGAATGATCAGTGAAACTGAGGTGAAGGTCAGATGAACCCTGTCAGACGGATATGCACACCTACAACATGTACAATACACTGAATACAGTTGACATATTAATATAGTATTGAAGTATCGGGCCTTGTCATCCAATACCTAAACGCTAACCAAAGAACCATGAAAATAAGGTTACGGTTAAATGAATTCTATCAAACGGTCCTCTACATCAGACAATCATTCTATACATCCAACAAAGGTGACCTATCACTAACTGTATCTGAGAAACAGATACAATAACAAAAACTAACATTGACCAATGAATGATGAAAAGGGGGTCAAGTTTAAATGAAACCTGTTGGACGGGCATGTACACCGGCTTCTTTAAACCATTCTAAAACCCAGTTTAGTGGACCTATTAACTATCAAGCTAACACCATATGAGAAAATCTAGATAAACCCTGTCAAACCTTACAATCATACACTAAATTTAAAACTGTTAAATATGTTTTACCTGTTTGTTTCTCCTCCACGTTAACATGATTAAAAGGTAACGCGGCCATAGAACACACTCACAAAATTGCAATACTATATATAACATTAATGAGATAAAATTTTTCTCAAGCTAATGGTTACAATGTACCAAATGGGTAACATATGGGCGAAAAATATCGTAGAGATTACTATCGCTGACTGTTTATGATAAGTTGTTTGTTAATAATGCTCAATAATATAAATAAATCCCCCCCTTTGGTACTACATTTTAATCTTTATGGATAAGGTTTATGAAGGACCGGAGATTGATCCCCTCTTCCTCATAATGTTAGGATGATAAAAAGTAAAATAACAAAAATACCGAACTCCAAGGAATATTCAAAATGGAAAGTCCCTTATCAGATTGCAAAATCAAAAGCTCAAACACATGAAACAAAAGGAAAACAACTGTCATATTCCTCACTTGGTACAGGTATTTCTTCATGTAGAAAATGGTGGATTAATTAGATATAGGAAGATGTGGTATGAATGCCAATGAGACAACTCTCCATCCAAGTTACAAATTATAAAAGTAAACCATAGTACAAGTCAAGGTACGGCCTTCAACACGGAGCATTGGCTCACACCGAACAGCAAGCTATAAAGGGCCCCAAAAAATTATTTGTGTAAAACCATTCAAACGGAAGAACCAACGGTCTAATCTATATAAAAACGAGAAACGAGAAACACGTATGAACTACATAAACAGACGACAACTACTGTAATCAGATTCCTGACTTAGGACAGGTGCAAACATTTGCAGCGGGATTAAACGTTTTAATGTTACCAAACCTTCTCCCTTTTCTGAAACAATAGTATAACATCACAACATAGAAAAACAAACTATAAAATATCAATTGGAAGGCTTAACTCAATCAAAAACGTAAATTAACACACAATGAACGAATAAATTGGACCTGTGACACCTGAATGCAAATACACAGTTAATAAAAAATTACAAGGGATAAATAATTAAAGTCAAAAGTAAATAAACAGGTTTAAACAAAGTTAAAAGTATGATATCACTGACAAATTTCAAACAATTTATAGAAAATCTTCACTTTTGAAGAAACGTGCGTCATATTATACACAGGTAAATGAAAATAATTTTGTTGTTAAGTATACTTCTTCTTCTGTGTGTATAAAATCTTCCGTTTAGGAATACCAAGAAATTTCTTTAATATCAATAAAACTAATCTAAGTTAAACACTTGGTACATATGGGGTGAATATCAACAATAAAAATATACAATTAGTGCTAGATAAAACTTCCTGTACAGGTCCAAGAACAGCATCTAAGGAAAAATGAAATAATTTTGATGTTCATAGTACGAAGAAGTGAAAACTTGTAGTAATTAAATACCAAATTAAACCTGGTTTTATGGCTAGCTAAACTTCTCACTTGTATGACAGTCGCATATAATTTTATTATATTGACAATCATGTGTGAGCAAAACAAACAGACATAATGGTTTAAAATGTCAAAAATTTCCCATGGAATCGCTAATTATTGTAAGAAACCCCAAATATTTACCAAGAGAATCCATGGGACACTATACTATGTTCAAGGGCGATAAAAGACCAAGAAGATAAATAAAAGGTCCTCCAACTGAGCTGTGCTAGGAGAACTTGGTAGATTCCCTTTATATTTTTCAGTTGTATTATTAATGGTGAAATATTGGTACCATTAAAACGTTTAAACCCGCTGCAATTGTTTGCACCTGTCCTAAGTCAGGAATCTGATGTTCAGTAGTTGTCGTTTGTTGATGTGGTTCATAAGTGTTTCTCGTTTCTCGTTTTTATATAGATTAGACCGTTGGTTTTCTCGTTTGAATGGTTTTACACTAGTAATTTTTGGGGCCCTTTATAGCTTGCTGTTCGGTGTCAGCCAAGGCTCCGTGTTGAAGACCGTACTTTGACCTATACTGGTTTACTTTTATAAATTTTGACCTGGATGGAGAGTTGTCTCATTGGCACTCATACCACATCTTCTTATATCTATTAGCATAAAAAATATGGAACATGGTTTACTGTATATCTATATGTGTACCAAAAATATGTTTAGTTGCAATATCGTATGCTGGTATTCATCCATACATTATGATTTAAAAAGCTGAATATTCAAAATTTAAATTTAAAGATTCACTTTTTCATCGTCAGTTAAGCAAAAATTGTGTAATAGTTTTACAAAACTTTGGAAAACAAAAAGAACAGATATAAAAAGTAGCAAATTAGATACTTATTTCAAACTAAAAACTTCTTTGTCTAAAGGAATTTATATATCTTTAAACAATTTTCGATTGAGAAGTGCCATATTCGTAAAATCAGAATCAGTGCCCATGATCTCAAAATAGAAAGGGGCAGATATAAAACTTTATATATAGAAAGAGATCAGAGGCTTTGTAAGAAATGTACTCTTAATTCGGTTGAAGATGAACAACATTTTATTACTAGTTGTCCAGCATACAATGATGATAGAGAGATACGTTTTCAAGGAGATATAAAACAATATTTGTCATAACTTTTCAGATCTCTCAAATGAGGCAAAATTTGTTTGGTTAATTAATAATGAAACTGTGTCTGTCCTAAAATATTTAGGGAATTATGTTACTAAGTTTTAGACGAAACGTAAAGTAATATATGTAATAACGATGATTATTGTAATGATTTTATGGATCTGGTCCTGCCTAGAATAAAATGTACATTATTTATATAAGATGAAGAAATATATGTAGTTTAGAACTATATATATAAATATATGAACATTTAATATTTCATTTCAATGTAAAAATTTTTTTTTTACAAAATCCTAGTGTATTGTTTTGTGTGTATGTCATGCTGCCAATCAAGGGTCCTTTATTAAATAATTGGAACAATAAATATTCTTATTCTTATTCTTATTCTATTCTTATCGTACTTCCATAAATAAAACAATTGTTTTCCATCAATACTTTCTTGCATGTAGTCTTTAGCATTGTCGGGAAGGGTCATAACTTTAATACTATATATTCTAAATACTTAAGTTTACTAGAAATTACAATGTAATAGTTCACTTGAAAAATCAATAAACTCACTATGTTATTAACTTAATACTTATTGAACTATGACACATTACAATACAACTTCCTATGTGAAATAATTTAAAACAAATTGAACTCACCAACACCTAATGCAACACTGATTCCTATTTTGTGGTCAAGAACAAAGTTTTGCACAACTTCCGTGTAATCCATTGCTACACACAAGACTGTTTTACACCATTATACATATATTTATGTTACTGTGCAAAGGGGAATAACCCGGGTTCTGCAAACGATTAACATACATGAAAATTTTTGAAGGAATCACTTTGTTTAGATAATGAGGCTATAGAATGTGTTAACAGATATAAATATTTAGGGATAGTCTTTACTTCTAGTGGTCTTTTCATCAGGGGAAAGAAGAGCTATTCAAAAAGTCCTTAAAGGCAAAATTTAAACTACAAAAATCCATGTCAGCTTGTAATCCAAGTATTGATACTGCAATCCATTTATATGATCACACAATAAAACCAATTTTATTATATTGTAGTGAAATCTGGGGTACCTTTAAGATTAACTCTGCTGCTTGCAAGAAAAAAAGTGATTATCTATTTGAATTAATTTACATAAATGATTATTTGGAAAAATCCCATTTCAGGTATCTAAAATATATTCTTGGTGTAAATAAAAAAGCCTCAAATTTGGCAGTGTTATCAGAGGTTGCAAGATTTCCTCTTTATTTTTCTGTCATTATATCTATGGTAAAATATGTACACAGGCTTAACAAATTGGACGATGGGTTACTTTATGATGCTTATGTTTGTAATAAAATTTTAGATGCAGGAAACATTAATTGTTGGTATTCATCTATGAGATATGTCCTTCAATCACTTGATATACAAAATTTGAATACAAAGCTCAATAAATTAATTAAATTTGTAAAATGTAAACTTTGTAACAGTTTTAAAACATTTTGGGTGGTCAAAAGATCTGATACCTTATCACAAGGTAATAGTAAATTAGAAAATTATTTCAACCTCAAGACTGACTTCGTAAAGGAGGCTTATTTATCAATTAAAGATTTTAATATAAGAAGAGCTATATGTAAATTGAGAATAAGTGCACATGATCTTAAAATTGAGAAAGATAGATATAGTAAAAAATACATAGAGAGAAGTCAGCGTCTATGTCATCACTGCCTATCACATGGACCAAATTCTATTGAAGATGAGACCCATTTCACAGTAAGTTGTCCTTTATATAACGAACAGAGAAAATTATTATGGGATAAAGTAAACAGTTTTTGTAATAATTTTAAAGAATTACCCAAGGATAAAAAATATTTCTGGCTGTTCACAAATGAGCATTTACCAACTCTTATGTGCCTAGGCAATTATATAATTAAGTGTTTAGAAATAAGATCCAGGTGGATACAAAATATATAAAATAATATTTAATTATTATGAAATTATTGTTATAGTTATGTAAGACACATGATGTGTAAGGCTCTGATCCTGTCCATAATATGATAGTATTATATTAGGATCTAGTTTTTCTCTTTTCCAATCATATTGTGCTTAATATTGTTGTAAATGATGCCCTTTATGGGTTCTTGATTAGATTAATAAAATTCTTATCTTTATCTTATCTGTACTTGGTTGATGAAATAAAATTAAAAACTTTTCAGTGGGTTACTCTCTCTCTCTCTCTCTCTCTCCTTGTCTACTGAATGTACATATATCAAGTGTGTAATCATGTCTTCCAAGTGCCCTTAATTGGTTCATTACGTTAAAAAGCGATATAATGGATTATCTTACTTGAATAGGGCCCCTTGAATGCGTTCTACCTTAATTACTTCAGTATTCTATCTGAAAGAAACTAGACAGCATGTGATCTTTTGTCGATTAAGTATGATATTTAAACCACGAAATACATAAAGGGAATAACGAACCTTGCACAAAAAACCTATTGTTCAGAGGTGGATTTTTCTTTGGGGGGGAGGGGCAGGAAGCCCGGCCCTCTTATAGAGCATTAAATATGATAAATGCATAGACTTTTTACAAGTATTATACCTTTTAAATTGTCAATCAGAATATTTATTCTGTAAATAGTATTCACGATTCATGTTATTTTTTACAGCGAAAAAATAAATAATATCACGATATATACCTTCATAAGTATTTATAGGAACTGAGTGTTGTTATTTAATTATTCAAATAGGGTAAATGTATTATATTTGATATCTGAAGTCCTTCAACGTATTACGAACAATGCATCTAACTGCAGTGAACTGGGGGTAGTGATAAACAGGCAATATTGAATTACCAAGCTAGATTCGTCCCAAAATTAGCTTTTAAAACCAAATATTCTTGCAGGAAACATTTGAGCCTTCGGTATATTATCACGTCTAACAATTGCACAAGTTAAAATTTGGCATGACGGGATGTCGAAATTATTTATTCAAATAAGAGCAATGTTCCTGTTTGTGGATTTTACCAGCTTGGTTATCCTGCATTTGCTACAATTTTGTTAGTCAGTCAAGTTTTTCGGTGAGACAAAACTTTCTAGGCTTTTTAAATGTTTAAAAAAGCGAGTACTTTTACCTACTTATATCAATATGCCATTTCACAAGTATAATTGGATATCATGCATTCATCATACTTTTTCTTAAAATAAGATCAAATTGCTGAAAGCTTCCCCCTTTTTTACTGAATTATTGGAATCTATCGTTTTGTATTAACTATGTCTTGGTGTAAATTAGATACACATAATCGGACTAACGCTCTCATGTGTGTATCTTAAACACGTTACACCGACCAATATCCAATGCATAAAAGATCCTCCCCCTCCCCCTTGAAATCAATGCATGTTGATACTTTTGATACGTCATTTAAGCCTACAGATAAGATCACTTTCTCTTTAAAGATATATATATATATATATACACTCAACGCTCGAGGACATTCAACACAAATGAGGGATCTACTGATTAGTTTATATAAACTGGTATAAAAGTTATCTTTTAATCTTAAAAGATTTTTTATTTATTTCAAATACTGTTTTATTTTAGTCAATTATGAACATATTTTTTGAAAACATAATTCGCTGACGATCGAATATTACAAACAATTAAAATTATCCACATCGTCGATTTTGTTTTTACCTGTCACACAAAGACGGTCAATGCATTGTTATTGGTAAGGAACCGTGGAAATGTTTAACTGTTAATATTCGACGCAGATTTGTTACTTTAAGTTAGTTCTTTTTAATATTATCTTGAAAGAAAGGAAAAGCGATATCAATTTGGTAAGAATTTTTTCATTTTCTTTTAAATTTTAAAACGGGAATGTACGTCTACCTCCGTTAAATGGATATACGAAATTGAACAAATACTGGTAATACAAAACACACACACACACATACACAAGTATACGCAAGCGTGACAAAAGTCACAAGAAGATCTAGGATTGATTTCCATATCCCTTTCCACAATAATGCGTGTTGTACTTATCGCAAACTTGTTCCTTTATTCTAATATAAGGTCTTCTAAAAAAGACTGAAAAGAAACTACCATTATCATTTAACTTAACGTTCCGCTTTAAATATGGTATCTAGAAATCCTGAAGCGGATCCAGGATTTTTGAAAGGGGGCGTAATTCCAGAAAACGTAATAGATACTGTCGAGCGCAGCAAGGCGAAAATCGTTTTGGACGATTAAAAAAAATCAAATTAATCGAGAGAACCATGATAATTATTTTATTTTTTGTTTGCGACCAAAGAGGGAGGCGTACGCCCTCTACGTCTTATCCTGAATCCGCTACCGAAATCGGCAGTGAGAGTCGGGGAGAACTAAACTTTACGACAATAAAGAAGACTTTTTAAAAATCTCATTTTGAATTTTCAATTCTTATGCAGCACCTCTGTATAGATTATATATATGTATATATAAGTCTAAATTGAAAACAACGTTCAAACCTATGATTGCGTTGGATAAAAGCCGCAATTTTTATACGTGTGCATGCAAAACAAATTTCTTCGTAGAGGGGTCTAAATACAGCACAAACAACATTTTCCAAAAGACCAAAAAAGTAAAAAAGTATATTTAAACAATATCCAAGTTAGTGAGGTATCCCAGTTCTTGGTTTTATTTTTATGATGGAACAAACCGCTCTAAATTGTTGAGTGTACGGAAGTCATCTCTGATATCTTCGAGAGAATAACGGACGACATTATGATTTGGTTGACCGTTATTCGAAATCTATTTCGTAAATAACATAGTATAGAATACATGTTTATTTAATAAAGATAAGGAAACTTAGGAAATAACTATACGATATATTCCCTTTGCCAATAAGAAACTTTCATTTTTTTCTCTTTTTATATTTGTTCTTGGCCATTTTAATCAGGAAGTCTTTCGTTGCGATTTTACCATATACGAAACAATTAGGTTAACGATGAATTGATAGTGAATGTGTTTGCATGTTCAATATAAACAATGTTTTACAAGCGGTTTTTTTTTTTTTTTTTAGATAATTCGACAGAAAATGGGTACCAGGACAAATCATTTAGATGCAATTAAAGAAATTGAAAATGTTCCCGTCATTTCTACAGCAGTGATTGGAAATTCACCGTAAGTACATGGCAACCCACAGACTATGATTATGAATACAACGAGATAGCAGCCCAAAGACACAAAAACCAAAAATAAAACTAGGGGACAAAATAGTTGCGATCTTCTACAATAGAATTTATCTTCTACAATATATGTTCTGTTTGGTTTTTTTTTTATTTGTGGTGGTTTATTGTTTATTTTTTTTGTGCCTGTTTTTTAACAGGTGTGGTATCAATTATTATGTTATAATAATTAACTGTGTCAACCCTTAATCTACACAATTGCCATTTTGTATAATTATTTTCACTTTGTAGTTTGAACGATATTAAATTTCGTTCCAAAATAATAATAAAAAAATACATTTTAAATAACAATGAAATACAAAGTCATGAAGACATAATGTAGCAACAATATCCTATTACACAATATAAAAATAAGGAGATGTGGTATGATTGCAAATGAGACAACTATCCATCAAATTTCAATGCATATAAAAGGTTCTGACATAAAAAAAAAAAAAGTGAAACCAGTCAAACGAGAAAACTAACGGTCTAAGTACAATGTATACACTGTGTGTCAGACGTATATATGATTACAGCAGCTTAACGTGAAGTTTTTTGTGTATATATGCATCTGTCGTCTGTAACGCATACACAGACGAACACTATTATAGTATTCTAAAAAGTCAGTATAAATAACGTTTTACCAGCTTTGTTATAACAAGATAAAAACAAATACAATATCAGATGTTAATTACTAATGTGCATGTTTTATCCTTCATTTTGATTCAAGCTTCGAATTGTCAACTATAACAGATGAGGAACTGTATTATCTTAAGTTTACAAACCTCATGTTAAGGTTAGCTCCAAGGGCTATGAGAGTTTTGTTTGATAAGAAGTTCCCGCCAGATCAGCTGTGTAGTAGACTTAACCAATACAAACATGTATTACAACAGCTAACACAAAAGAACGTCATATTCGAATTTCACTGGGAAGAAGTAATGTTTCCTCCATCAGGTAATTTAATATAATATAACATCAGTCTTAGATAAAAATAATAATAACACATCATATCTATACTACTAAAATAACGAGGTCCGATATGTTAGCCAGTATGTCGAAAAATCGACGAATCAAAAAATTCAAATTTATATATAACTAATATAGGACAATGGTGTTGAGGTAGTATAAAATCTTGGGAAAATTTATCAAATCAAGCGGTATGGGCTTTGCTCGTTGTTGAAGGCCGTACGGTGACCTATAATTGTTAATTTCTGTGTCATTTGGTCTATTGTGGAGAGTTGTCTCATTGGCAATCATACCACATCTTCTTTTTATATTGTTTAAAAAATGGAAACAAGACGTTATTAATTGCATGCGTCCGAAGTGCTTGTCTGGATTTACCTTCATCCGGAACGCTCAAAGCCGAATATTTGAAGGCCAGGGATGTACAATTGAGCATTTGGTTTCAAAAGTAAACAAATGAACAGTTTATGCTATAAATCAATACAATGGTGGACAGTTGTCTCATTGGTAATAATTCCACATCTTCTTATTTTTATACAGAATTATTCAATATATGGTAAAGATTCATGCAAAATATAATATTTTATTTCAGAATGTTGTATTCTTGAACGGATTACACTGAGCGGAAATCTTTAACTTTATACAATGTTTTCATACATTATACGAATTAGTTGTTTTATTAATGTCGGAATCAAACGATGGTTTTGTGAAGTATATCAAACGAAATTGAAAAACAAAAATAATATACAAAAGCTGAGCATGATGAAAACACGGTGAAAGTATCTTTAGTTATGCTATATGTCCTTCTTTTGTTCTAGGAAATTCTCAAGTGAAATCATCTTCGTTTGATTTGAGTCTTCAGTTTCTACTCATCAAGCATTTGACATATATCAAAGTCCAGAACGTGTTGCCTCTCAAACCGGACACATCCGTTGAGAATAGTGTGTCTACTATTTTTTACTACCATAATTACATAAACAGTAAAGTCAAAACGTCCATGAGATTAGATGAATTCGAAAGACACTGGGTTACTATAACAAAGGTAAGTGTGGTGTGTTTGCATTATGAGCTCTGGTATTGGCAATTGGCCATCTCAGAATCTAAAGCACCATGGGTCATTTCATTGTTCGTTCCCCCAAAATGAAAACAACGTCACGTCATTGATTGAATTTTAATTGTTTAGGACGTTGTTAACCACTCAAAGCGTTTTCGTGTATGCTTTTGAAAATGTTATCTAGAATGCATTAGATTCTGAAACGGCAAATTGTATCACATCTTATTTTCACGGCACAAGCAAATCTAAAATTAAATACAGAATGTGTGACTTGTAAATTTTATCATTCTAAAAATACAGGAAAATTGTGTCAATGAGTATGTCGATTGAACTTGAATAAAGTTTCCAGCACTATTACATGTTAGTATTTGTTATAATTCTTGTCACGCAATAATGTCAGCAGGTATATGTTCTTTTTGTTGCGTGTTGTGTATGTGAGCTTGTTAACTGAAAGTTTTTTCATTATTATAATTAACTCATTTCTATCATTACCAATTTCACAAATTGTTTATCCAGTTCAATATTATTAATAATCCTTTATATTCAGAGCAATCTGTAAAGAAGTTACAGAATCAGTAATGTTGATGCATAAGACAGTAGATCCTACATACTAGTAGTTGAACAATTGATTCGTGACACTTTCATGTCCGACTCAAATCGATAGACTCACAGATGCTATTAGTCCTTGATTGTCAAATTCAGGCAGTTTTTCTCCGTGAGACATTTTTATTAATCGCTCGAACAATAAGCTACATCGTCTATAACATTATAAGTGATCTAAGAAAACTGATGTATTTTATAATAAGATGTTCGTATTACAATATATTTATTTCAGGCTGTTGAATATATTGCTGGTAAAGTTTCGAAAGATGAATGTGATGTCTTCAAAAAAGCAGATTTAGATTCCGTTTACGTTTGTCTACTGGTAGAATTGATAGACTTAAGGAAAACTATAATGAACAAGACAGATATTCCTCATCAAACACTGGAAAAGTTAATGCTAATCTGTGGCAAAGTCGAAACTTTAAAGCGAAAAGATTTTGAAAATATAATTGAAGATATTAGGAACCTAATGGAAGAAGTTAGCAGTGGAGATGAATCTTTGTTTAACAAACTGCACGGTATTATTTACTTTTCAGAACTCATTTATTGATAACGTACAAATACAACGGAATGATACCAGTAAATAATGCACACCAGTATTTTTCTACACATTGAGGTCGCTATTAGGTTATATTGGAGTATCGTATTATCAGGGTATCAGCGGCTCTTTTCACAAAAAATCTTAAGAGTAAAAATACTCGTAAGTCATACACATTTCAGTATAACTTACGATCAATTTTAATCGTAAGATTTTTTGTGAAAAGAGTCGCAGGTTTTTAATTGGGTTCGTGTAGCTCAGTCTTTACTTTTCTTGGTTGTGTACTGCTTTTGTCTTTTCGTTTTTTTGCCATGACATTGTCATGTTGTTTTCGACTTATGAGTGTGAATATTCCTTTGGTATCTTTCTCTCTTTTAGTTTTCTATAAGCTACAATTTACATTTGCGATTGTTTCTGTGATCACTTCAATCTGTGATTCTGATCCTCTTCTGTTTTTTTTTTTATAAAAATAATTTAGGAGACGAGGTATGTTTCATTTGCCAAATAGATAATTATACAAAAAGACTAAAGGACAAAGACGTAATTAATAACAGAAGAAGTTACGGTCTTCAATAATGAGCAAAACCAATATCGTATAGTAAGCTATAACAGGGCCCGTTATGATAAAATGCGAAACAATTCAAAAGAGAGAAAAAAAAATAGCAGCCTTGTGTATACTACTTCAATGGGCGAAACAAAATTATGGCAGACAGCAACCATCGACATCCACTAGAGTACGGGTTCCTGGAGTTGGACAGGCACACTTATAAACGTGGCGGGATTATGTGAGCGCTCAACTCTCCTATAACCTGCGACGGTGATCACGTTATTCCTATAATAATCTTCCATCATAGGAATTTATGATGTAACCTGTGTTTACGAAATTGAACTGCATACAGACGTTGAAGGCCATTGCACTGGAATACCGAACGAAATATTTTATATTCAAATTAATGAAATTATAGGAAGGCGGGTAAAACTTAACTAAAACGTTGAACATGTCCAGACGTCATTGAATGGAATGCACTATAAAGGCAAATGTATTGAAAAAGACCAATTCATTCAATCTTTCAGTACACTATACTTATATTTTATAAGAATCGAATATTTATGCAATTGATTAATGTATATTTAAAAAAACTTGAGTTTTGGGATGTTCGATATCAACTGGGGGTATTCCATGTTATGTGTTTTTAGATATAGAAACATCTATACAAAACAATATTTTGAACGAACAACCCTTAGGGCCTGCTTTCAAAATTATAGTTAGAATATAATACTTACTTACATTATAAGTTTCTATATCTATAATAAGAAATAATATCATATTTATCATTGTAGGTATATCAGAGTGGAAAGTGCTGGATGCAAAATTTGTAGAGACTAAAGCAACTAAATCCATATCAAAAACCATAAAAGATCACCAGGTTGTGGTTTTGGTAGGAAATTCGGGGATCGGAAAATCCTTCACACTTCAGCACATTGCTTTGTCATTACTTAAACAAGACTTTGAAATTATACCTGTAACAGACCCAAAAGATATTTTAAATACCAAACAAAACGAACGGAAGCGATTCTATCTTATTGACGATATTTTTGGTCAATGTAATATGAATCTTACTATGCTAGAACTTTGGGAAGACTCTGAAGATGCAATTATATCAAAACTAAGACAGTGTCCGGACAAAAAATGTGTTATCACTACACATTCCAATGTGTATGGGAATGAGAATGCTAGAAAAGTTTTAAAAAACTTAGGGGCAATTGAATGTAACATGTCAAGTGATGATCTGTCGCTTAGCTTGAGTGAATTTCAGCTGATATGGAATTCATATAATCAGCGTATAGATTTAGACAAAGTGTTCGGCGAAACTATTCCGGTAGATTTTTTCCCGCTTATATGTCGACTCTTTCAACAAAAAAGAGATAAAGCTATCGAAAAAGATTTTATAAGAAGTCCGTATGAAAATATAGTAAAATATATGAATGCGTTGTACAAGAGTGATGAATACTGCTACTTTTTCATGCTTCTCTTAATCCTAATGAACAATAAAATCACCAAAGAGTACATAAACAGTACCGAAAATAAACCAAAGATGCAAGGCATATTTCAGTTGTGTTTTAAAACAACGTCTACCACCATGCCTTCCTTCTCAAGTTATATCATACATGGCATAAGAAACCTTAAAGGTTTATTTATTGAAGAATCAAAGAAAGAGTACACGGTTTCTCATATCAAAATGTTTGAAGTTCTTTGTCAGTACTTTGGCGAAAAACACACCGACTGCATACTTAAATACGGTGATTCTGATGTCGTTTATAGTAGAGTGGTTTTAAGCACGTTTGATGTTCCACTTTGTGAAGGAGAAGCCATAAGGATAGACTCTGTTCATGAAAAACAATACTTTGAACGAATACTCGTGGATTTGAAGGAAGGGAAATCTTGGGATGTGTTTTCCTGTCTTCAGATGTCAAATGAAAAATTTAGGAAGCATTTTATATCATATTTATCAAAAACCTCTAAAGTGATGGAGATACATACACATAACATTGATTCAGTATATATAGCCTCCAAATTAGGTTACCATGACATTGTAGAATTTCTTATTACAACAAAAGACAGAAATTTGTCAAGTGGTATCTCAAGCAATGGAAAAACGTCTCTTTGGGCTGCAAGCTACTCTGGGCATGAAGATATTGTAAAGCTACTGTTGAATAATCATGCTGACGTCAATCAAGAAACACTTACAGAAGAGACTCCAATATATGCTGCGTGTAAACAAGGTTATCTTGTTATTTTAGAACTTTTAATAAAACATTATGGAGACGTTAATCAACCGCAAAAGGAAGGAATCACTCCATTGTTTATCGCATGCAAGAAACAGAACAAAAATATAGTACGGGTTTTATTGGAGAAAGGCGCCAGTGTTGATCAGCCTACAAGTGCTGGTGCAACTCCATTGCATGTCTCTTGTTTTCATCAAAATTCAGAATTAGTTGAAATTTTACTGAACAAAAAGGCAGATACTAATAAAACTACTGACAAAGGAGTCACACCCCTGCATGTTGCATGCTACAACGGAAACAAACATATTGCGGACCTTTTACTAGTGAATTTTGCCAATGTTAATCAAACAATGAACGGTCATGTTACGCCTATTTATATTGCGTCTGAACGAGGCCATACATCTCTAGTCAAATTTCTATTAACGAAGTATGCTAACATTAACCAGGCTACAGATGAAGGTTACACACCACTTTATGTTGCAAGCATGAATAAACATACAGGTATTATTGATGTACTGCACAATAAGCAATCAAATACTTCGGTCCATAGTAAAACCGGTTTCAGACAGTTGTATAGTGCCTGTGAAAGTGGACATACAAACGTTGTAGACTGGTTGCTAAGACACGATGTCGAAGTAAATCAGGAAAATGAAGACGGGGTTACACCATTACACATATCATCCTATAATGGCCACCTAGCTGTCGTTTCACATTTGCTAAAGAATAATGCCGACATCAATAAAATGACTAAGAGTGGTGTAACTGCCCTGTACATGGCTTGTCATAAAGGATATTTAGAAGATGTTCAGTTACTTCTTAAGTACAATGCAGAAGTTAATTTAGCTGCAGACTTCGGTTATACTCCGCTGTATATCGCATGTGAAAATGGGCATACAGCTATCGCAGCGTTATTACTTAAAAACAATGCAGATGTTAATCAGACTAAAAATGGTGGCTTATCACCGCTTTATATTGCCTGTCGTAATGGTCATACACATGTTGTACATATGCTTCTCGAACATTTTGCTTTCGTTAATCATGTAGTTGACAAAGGGGACACTCCTCTTCATATAGTATGTAATAATGGCCATACCCCAATTGTAGAACTACTGCTATGTTACCATGCTAATATTAACCAATGTCTACCCAATGGATGCACACCATTGTATGTTGCTTCTGAGAATGGTCATGAAGGAGTCGTTTCCCTCCTTTTAAATAACGACGCTGATGTAAACCTTTGTCGTACTAAAGGAAGTTCGCCATTATTTATTTCCTCTATGGAAGGATATGATCTAGTTGTGAAGCTACTCTTAAATAACCATGCTGATGTTAACCAAAAACGGCAAGGTGGTTTTACTTCTTTATATATTGCAGCACATCAAGGACATCGCAGAGTTGCTGAATTATTGTTGCGATACAAGGCCGAAATAAACGTTACCGATGATATTGGAGCAACACCTTTGTATGTAGCATGTGAATACAACCACAAAGATGCAGTCGAGTTTTTACTTAAACGCAATGCTGATGTCAATATAAAAACAAATCAAGGGTATACTCCTTTACATATTGCATGCCAGAACAACCACAAAGAAATAGTCGATTTGCTCTTAGAGTATAAAGCAAATTTGACAGAAAGTGATGACGCGGGCATCACGCCACTGTACCTAGCTAGTACTTGTGGGCATATGGATGTGTTAGATATAATGATCAACAGTGTTAAGAATGATGCAGATGTAGATATTGAAACTAAAGAGGGATTTACTCCACTATTCGCTGCATGTAAAAAGAATGACATAGCTACCGTTCAATACCTCCTAGAAAAAGATGCAGATATTAATCATCGGTCAGTTGCAGGGTTGACACCACTTAATGTCGCATGTGACAATAGATACTATGATTTAGCCGAATACTTATTAAGATACGGAGCTAATATAAATACTCAAAACAATGTTGGCATGACCCCTCTCTATATGGCATGTCAAGATGGTAATCTTGAAGTAATCGAACTTTTGTTCAGATATCGCCCGGATGTTAATCTTGCAACGGAAAAGTCATCGACGCCACTTTATATTGCAAGTTTCAATGGAAATGAAGAGGTTGTGAAAGTTCTCCTTGATCATAATGCAGATGTAAACCTTTGCATGGTTGGTGGTTTAACTCCTCTATACGTTTCCTGTTACAACGGCCATATACATATTGCAGAATTACTGCTACAATACGGCGCTGATGTTAACAAGGGAACTTTCGAAAACGTTACACCACTTCATTTATCATGTGATAAAAATAGAGAAGACTTAGTGATGTTATTACTGGAAAACAACGCTGATGTAAATCTTAAAAATGAATCAGGACTGACAGCTCTCGATATTGTCAGAAATAATAGAAATATAAAATTGGTGGAGAAACTTGAACACAACGCTACGAACCATAAAGAACAAAGATAATGAAGTTTATAAATAATATTACTGATAAAAGTGAAGTATCCATTGTATACATTGTAGATGGATACAGCGATGGCAAATAAAAGCAATGGCGAATAATATAATTAGTTTGTGCGGCTTTAGTAAAAAAAACAGCAAAAAAAAGCTTTGGATCAAAAATGCAGACAAAATAATGTATGTTCAATGTTTGCAAACTACTGCTCCATGTTTGTGTGTTATTTCATACATATTTTCCTAACATACCCCTTTATAAGTAAATCAATACAAGAACAAACTAACGACATGTTACTATCGATATATAAATAAGATGTGGTATAATTGCCAACGAGAGAGCTATCAACAAGAGACTAAGGGTCACGATTGTAAGCAACAATACGGCCTTCAACAATGCGCAAAACCAATACCGTATAGTAAGCTATAAAATGACCTAACATAACAAAATGTAAAATAATTCAAACGAGAAAATCTTAATTTAAGGCTCTAAAAACAACATCGCCAGAACGATAAGGACGTACTATCCCGTTTGTAATAAGGTTTGACATGTACAACTGAACTTCCAAACCAAATATTTGTAAAAGAATTTAATAATGATTTAAAGTAATTTGTGGTAACGAAATCCCCGACTCAATAATTTGGCACAATTTTTCGGAATTTGTGGTTTTCAATGCTCTTCAGCTTGATATTTTGCATTCGAACTGTTTTGATTTGAACGCCACTGATTATTCTTATGTAGACGAAACGCGAGCTTGCCGTAACAAATTATAAGCCTTGTATCTGTAATTTGTGTTTACCCGTTATGTACAGATTACGTTCATTGAAATCTAAAACATCACTAGTAAGCTATAAAAGGTCCGGGCATTACAAAATGTGAAACAATTCAAAACGATGAAACCATTAATTCATTTCTGTAGTCAAATGACATTGTCGAACACTAAGCAAAATGATCCCGTGCTTGATTTCGGGTGCTTTGATAGGCTTAGCATATTTCGCATTTGATGCCATTTTACCCTAATGTGGTAGTGACTCAATTTTAGTTAGTATCAATATATTATGTATAAAAAGAAATTGATGTATTTACGGAAATATGTCTGCAATGAATTATATATGACAGTCATCTCATAACGATCGAACATATATTGTTAGCGAGCATAAAATATGATTGTATTCTTAGAGGGAAGTCACCAGATAAGCTCTCGAAATGCGAACAACAAGCTATGATATATAAATAAACTACATTCAGGTGACGCAAATATATCACAACCAAAAACACTTTTTTAATACCCTTTCCTGGTGACCGAATGGGTTTAAACTTCTGCCGGGTCAAATCAGATACCGTTTTTCTGCGAAGAACGCGGAATTTAAGAGTAAAAGCAAAGACTAGTAGAATCGGAGTCAGGGTTATGTGTCGTCATCATCTTGGTATAAAATCGTCAATACACAGGAGTTAGTGCCCTCGACATACATGTCTACCCATTTTTTTCGTTTGTTTTTGAAGAAACTATAATAGGGCAAAAATTACCAGCAATGTAACATCTACACGTAAGTGAACATGGGTGAAATATTCAATTGAAATCTATAGGAGTCATTGTACTTGAAAATTGATTTGTACATATTATTGCAAAAATCATTTAAAAAAGAGAGAAACTGTAAATGACAAAAATGTTTAGCAAAATAAGATCTGGCCGAAATCGTCAGTTCACCTCTAATTGGAATTACTGTCTTGAAAGATGGCATTTACTCATTTTTGCATTTTGTCGAAAACCAGTGTTGAGAGAAATTGTAATATTGGCAATTGCCAAAGATCTTAAGAACAATAAGATCTACAAACAATCAACAAAACCGAAATCGTCAACTGTAAGTAAATATCAAAATTGAATACGTTGACCAGATGAGCTCTTTGTGCCTCTTTTTCGTTCTTTTTTCTAACCATTTTGGTTTTTTAATTGGAATTTTTTTTGAAATTTCATTGTACAAATGTATGTTATAAATGAGCTTCGTGTCAAAGCATTTTGGGTTACATAAATATATTGTAAAAGAAATATTAAAATTTAAAGCATTCAAACTATCATAACCAGTAGTATCTATGCTCTTTATTTATTATAATGCATATATTTTCAAAGTTATTTAGTAAGGCTAAAAAATATAGTTATGTTTCCTGCCTCCTGACCTACCCTAAATTGCATGCCTCCCCTTATAGATTTTACGGAAATTTGTGGTTAATTAAGCACCTTTACATGTCTGACTTGTTAAGCACGTTAGAGTCTAGAATAATTCCCAATATATATAGTCTATATCAAATATTTTCCCTACATACCCGACTTTCGGAAGGAGGCAGGATCTTATTTAATTTTTTTGGCCTTGTAGGAATAAACAATATCATATATTCTGATAAGGTTTCCAGAATGATAACTGTTTACACAAAAGTATTAATAGAAATTATAACATAAAACATTCAGATCAGCCTTCCTTTGTTCAAAATGAATGTATTATATTCATTATTCAAAGAAAAAGTAAATATGAGGTAGAATAGTCCTGGTTTACACCCTCGGCCGTTTTAGTTTATTTTACACAGAATGTATTTCAATAAGTATTCCTTAAAAGGATTGTACTTCTTAGTTTGTTTCTTTTTGGCTAATGACTGTTCTGTCCATTTTGTATCAAGGTTTGTTTCATTGTTAAAGGTCAACCATTTTTTCAGAAAGCTTCCAAAGTCGTTTTGCGTTTTCATCATTTAGAGCTTCTTTTGATGGTTTCTTTTTTGCACAATCACTGCAATTATCAAAATTAACATGTCAAAGTAGAAATAAAATATATATATATATATATAGGATAATTGTAGGTTAATGATCGAAGTTCGAACATTTGGTTCTTGTAATGAGCTTCATTTAATACAATCCAAAAAAAAGGTTTTATTTATTGAAACTAGTCAAAGAGGGACAACTTTATGAAGTAGTACTAGTCTCATAAAAGATAGGAAAAAACATTATTTAACTTTTTCATTAGATATAATTTTACAAACAAGACTATTCTTACTATATTTAATTTTAAAGATTGAAAGCAAAAAAGGAAAATATACAACTTCGAGCCCATATTTTCTTTATAATAACTTAAAGCTTCAATTGAGTAGATTTTAAAGTAAATTACAACATGTATCAGTTGCAATATAACAACATGTATTTCCGTAAAATGTTACGTTCCCATACGTTTTTCTTATTATTCATTGTAGGGGTCTACTCACCTGTAATATTTGCCCGTTTCCCCAGATAGAGATTCATCTACAGCACAATATATAGTCGTCTGAGCTCCTTCGTTTGGCGTTTTAATCAAAGGTCTTATCACTGAAAGAAGCATTCTCCATCCCATGCTCTGGGTTACATGTCTCGATAGCTCTGTGTTTATAACTCCTGGGTGTAAGGAATAGGTTGTAACACCCGTTCCTGTAAAAATGTAAAATTCACAAACATCAAATATTATCAAATGCAATTGCATGTGTACATTAAACGAACATGTACATATTATTAAATGGTAAATGCTTAAAAGTTGTTCTTTTTATTCTTAAATAACCATCAACGAATACCACAGTTCACCTTATTTTATTAACATTCAACACAAAGACAGCCACTGTATAGTGCAACAGAAACATCCTAATATTTATTCAGTCCCATGACTTCGCACTCAGTTTTGATCTCAGATTGGTTTGAGTCGCTTAACCCTGGCGATGTGTGCTTTTACAATTACTTAGCGTCTGATGTCCGTCATAATTTTTTAAAGATGTTCTCCGTAAAAATCAACACATTTGTTCCCTACATGGCAAAGTTTAATTAACAATTTGGAACGCATAGAAAAGTAAAAAAAAATCGCTCCATCATCTCATTTTTATAGTTTCCTTTACATTATAATTACAAGAAACTCGTTTCAGATGACTTTAACACCTTGTCAAACTTAGGAACTTTGAGATACAACCGATATCGTAGGACAACTCAAGCTCCCCGGGATATTTTTCTTCCTGTGGTCACGTGTTTTTTCCTTCTACGACTAATAATGTGACTGCTCCCTATGCAGGCGCGGATTCAGAAGGCGGCGCATCAGTCTTCCCCTCCTCCTCGTCATAAATTTAAAAAAAAAAATGTGTTTTATATGTAATAATTACAGCCAATTTTGTCAAAAATATGGTCCTTCAACACATAATTTTCAGGAGCCCCCCCCCCCCCCCCCCCCCCCCCCCACTCACCCACTCAACAACAAGTCCTGGATCCCCGTATGCTATGTATCATCTGACTTTTGAAAATCGCATTTTGTGTTTTAATGAAAAAGCAGAACAATCTTATACCATTTATTAGATATTATACTTCAGTTTTTCTTCCCAGAGTTTATTACAATACTCCACAGTATGAATTTTCTTAAATTCGTTTAAATTTTTTTTTAAATATTTAACACTAATATTTAACATTTACAACTAACATTACCATAAAATCTACAAAAACTGAAATAAAATCTAGAACACTTATGTTACGTGTCCTCTATGATATTTACCTTGTAGTTTCTTTGCCAATTCACTGGAGAAAAGCACATTTGCAAGTTTACTCTGTGAATACGCGCTACCAGGATCATAATTCTTTTCCTGGTTCAGATCGTCAAAGTTTATCTTTCCTCCTTCAAAGTTAAAAAAATATCATATATACATAGAAAATATATAGCAGTTCCAATTCAATTAATGGTAGGTGTTTTCCTGCTATCGTGTTTTGTTAATTTTTAATTCTAGTAAATATGAAATTAAGAACTTTTGTTATTTTCCATCTTAAATAACCTTTTTTATGAGAGTATATGTGTATTGAAATCAAATATGCCGTTCCTGTTTTATACATAAAAACATAAAAAAACTGAAACTGGTGTTGAAAATTTTCAGTGATACGGTAATTAGGAACGAACTACTTTTGCTAACTGAATGTATGAAATGCTTAAACTTTTACACGCTTGACGTCACAAGGCCCCAAACATCATTGAATGTCGTAGATGGATCAGAGTGATATTGCGACCGATGCATTTTTAAATTATTTTACAAGAAAAAAATAACCTAACAGATTTAAAACATATTATGTACTTTGTGATTGCATGATAAATGCTAAAAATACAGTACGTAGTAATTATTGATTGATTGTAACTTCCTCAGCGTCCCGTGGCACAGAAAGGGGGGAGTGTTTCACGCTTATTCAGGAAAAGCCAGGCAATTGTACAACTGTACATAAATCATTTTCAAAGTGAACATGTAAGATGTGCTCTCCGTCATTTACACTGTTGCGTGTTTGAGTTTGATCCCTGTCGAAAAAAATGTCTTAGAATAACCAAATAAAACATAAAATCTTTCTTTTCACTCTTTCGTTGATACCAATATAAGTTCCAAAAGATACACATTTAATGTAAAATCAAATTAGGTTTTGATCTTGAGCATAAATCAAATTAGGATTTGGTTTTAACATAACCAAAGAAAGCTATTTCCAAAATCTTGTGTCTTTCGTACTTAAGTCGGTATTACTACCGGTAGTTCGGTACTGCTCCTGATGGATTAAGACACAAAATATATATACTCGTTTCCAGCACCCGGACTGAAAAACACAGTAGGTAGTTAGGTAAAATAATCTTAATATTCTGAAAATATTTGAGATAGCTATATAAATTATATAGACTCCATAGACATAAAACTGTTCTTCACTTGAATGGCGTTTGACCAAAAACATGTGGACCGTAACGATTCCTTACCAAAAATTGTCCATTGGGTACATGTAGGCATCGAGGCAGAGAGGCAGGAAATAGAACTATATTGTTTTGGCCTCACCAGTACATGAATGTATCCAATGGCTAGTACTTACATGATATTTGACTTTAAATGTTTAGAGCGAACATCATGCAATTCTACAAAAACCAAAATTGACATCCGAAAAAAAATGATTTTTGCGTAGAGGACGTTTTGGTTTTGAGACTATAAACATTAACGAATTTGGCTTTCCAAACTTTCTATTGCAACGCAAAGACACTTGTTTGTTGGTGCGCTTAAATCAATATCATAAATAAATGTTATGCTTTCACTTTGATTAATACTGAAAATGATCTTACTTTCATGGGCTAAAGATGATACTGTTACAACTCTGCTTGGTGCAGATATCTTCAGCTTATCTAATAATAAATTAGTCAACAGAAAGTGACCTAAATGATTAACTCCAAACTGCATCTCAAAACCGTCATCTGTCTTCCAGTAAGGGCATCTCATTATTCCTATAAATAACAGTTTAGATGAAATGACTACAAACGATTGGCATATATATTTGTAACATCGTCGAACTTCTTCATAAAACAACAACAAAACAACAAATTTACGTTGTGTTTTTTTCTCACAAAGGTAAAAATGTTCTTCAAAGCTTGATGCCAATATTGCACTTTGCGGTATCTCTACCAATTTTGAAACGCTTTAATTTGTATAAAAAGCAACAAATTTTCCTCTTTTACACATATCACTGTAACGTTTTTCCATCGGGGAGGTCGTAAACGCCTCAATGAGACAACAATCCCAATACATAACTAGAGGCTCTCAAGTGCCTGTGTCGCTCACCTTGGTCTATATGCATATTCAACAGGGGACACTCCCCAACATTGTAGACGAGAATAGAATTAATGACAAAAATCTCTGGTTTTTTTTTGTATCTTATATTGCTGATCATTGAAGTCTGTTTAGTTTCTCTCTATCTTCATGATTTTATTTAGCTTTTGCTCTAAACACAAAAGAGGGTAAAAAAACTCCTATAAAGAGTAACAGTCTACTTATTATATCAGCAAAATTTGACTTGTTAGTAGGTCTCGTTTTGCTTATCATTTTTGATTATGTAAGTTTCTATCTATCTATTATAATTAATATCATACAAGGAAAAACGCCAAAAAAATGGTAAAAATCATAATTAAAGGGCAATAACTCCAATAAGGAGTCGTTGGACAATTTCTACCATTTGTCTTAATTGTAGATTTTGTCTTGCTGATTATTTTTTGTATATTTAAGTTTCTTTCTATCTATTATAAGTTTTAAGATATAAGACAAAAACGCAAAATTGTACAAATCGGCTTCAAAGGGAATTAACTCTAATAAAGAGTCAACTGATGATTTCAACCATAAGACTTATTTGAAGAACTTGTCCTTCTGATCATTTTTGCAATTTAAAGTTTCTCTCTATCTTTTATAGTTTTCAAGATATGATAATAGGCAAAAATCGAAAAAAGTGGTAAAATTTGTCATTTAAGGGCAATAACTCCTACAGGAAATTGTCTTACAGTTTTGACGTATATGGATAATTGGTAGAGCTCAACATTCTGAACAATTTTACCCCCTTCAGATTTCCTCTTTTTATAACGGTTATGAGAATAATAGACAAAACTTGCATTTTACCCCATATGTTCTATTATTTGCCATGTCAGCCATCTTTGTTGGCAGGCAGGGTTATCGGACACATTTTTTAAACTGAATACCCTAATGATGATTGTGGCTAAGTTTGATTCTATTTGGCCCAGTAGTTTCAGAGGAGAAGATTTTTGTAAAAGATTACAAAAATTTACGAAAATTGTAAAAAATTGACTATAAAGGGCAATAACTCCTTAAGGGGTCAATTGACAATTTTAGTCATGTGACTTATTTGTAGATCTTACTTTGCTGTACATTATTGCTGTTTACAGTTTATCTCTATCTCTAATAATATTCAAGATAATAACCAAAAGCTGCAAAATTTTCTTAAAATTACCAATTCAGGGGCAGCAACACAACAACGTGTTGCCTGATTGGTCTGAAAATTTCAGGGCAAATAGATCTTGACCTAATGTACAATTTTATTCTCTTCAGATTTGCTGTCTTTGGTTTCAGAGATATGAGCCATAAACTGTATTTTACCCTATGTACTATTTTTAGCCATGTCGGCCATCTTGGTTCGCGGGCGGGGTCATCGGAGACATTTTTTAAACTAGATACCCTAATGATGATTGTGGACAAGTTTGGTTAAATTTGTCTTCGTAGTTTCAGAGGAGAAAATTTTTGTAAAAGATTACAAAAATTTACAAAAAATGGTTAAAAATTGACTATAAAGGCCAATAACTCCTTAAGGGGTCAACTGACCATTTTGGTCAAGTTGACTTATTTGTAGATCTTACTTTGCTGAACATTATTGCTGTTTACAGTTTATCTCTATCTATAATAATATTCAAGATAATAACCAAAAACGGCAAAATTTCCTTAAAATTACCAATTCAGGGGCAGCAACCCAACAACGGGTTGTCCGATTCATCTGAAAATTTCGGGGCAGATATATTTTGACCTGATAAATAATTTAACCCCGTCAGATTTGCTCTTAATGGTTTGGTTTCAGAGATATGAGCCAAAAACTGCATTTTACCCTATGTACTATTTTTAGCCATGGCAGCCATCTTGGTTGGTTGGCCGGGTCATCGGACACATTTTTAAACCTGATACCCCAATGATGATTGTGGCCAAGTTTGGTTATATTTGGACAAGAAGTTTCAGAGGAGAAGATTTTTGTAAAAGTTAACGGACGACGGACGACGGACGACGGACGACGACGGAAGATGAACGACAACGGACGACGACGGACGACGACGGACGACGGACGACGACGGACGACGGACGCCAAGTGATGAGAAAAGCTCACTTGGCCCTTTGGGCCAGGTGAGCTAAAAGCAGGTTTCATACTGAAGAGTTATGCATGTTGTAAAAAAATGACTTTGGCATAGTGCACTTACCTGCATTGTTAATCAATACATCTAGCCTATTCTCGTTTTTGTTTATGTCTTCAGCAAAACTTCTCACCGACTTCAGTGAGGCTAGATTCAGTTGTTTAACAAAAATGTTTTGGTTTCCGGTAATTTGCTTGATGTCGTCTGCTGCATCTTGCGCTCTTTTCATGTCTCGACAGGCAATCGTGACCTTAGCACCTTACAAAGGCATAAATTAAAGTGAAAATATAAATAAAAGGTTATTGTAGTATCAATATAAAAGAGAGGCGTAAGATACCAAAAAGGATATATATTTAAACTCACAAGTCGATAAATAAACTGACAACGCCATGGCAGAAAATGAAAAACGACCAAAAGATAAAACAACAGTTTACAAAACACAACACAGAAAAGTGATGATTGGGCAACACGAATCTCATGTGCTCCAGAAGGGTTAGCAGATTCTGCTCCACATGTGACACCCGTCGTGTTACTCATATAAAATACGTTGATATAATTTATAGACATTACGCAATATGGGACTGGTAATTGACCGTTATCCAACCTAAAGACATCACCTTATTCGTAAACCATCATTCTTGTAAATTTTCTAACCTAATATAACATTTTGAAATTAAAACAAAGTTTTCATGATAAAGGATGGACAAGATTGTTACCGGTAAAACCAACTGTTGAACACAGTAATTCCTATTAAATCAAGAGAAACATGAACCCCTTTTCAGAACGGGTGCCTACCTCGATTCGTCCAACTCGGGTTAGTAGAAATATTTTTTCATATGTAAATACTTTCGGTGATGTTAATCAATAGGATAGAAAACTAGAGGCTCTAAAGAGCCTGTGTCGCTCACCTTGGTCTATGTGCATATTAAACAAAGGACACAGATGGATTCATGACAAAATTGTGTTTTGGTGATGGTGATGTGTTTGTAGATCTTACTTTACTGAACATTCTTGCTCCTTACTATTATCTCTATCTATAAAGAACTTGGCCCGGTAGTTACATAAGAAAATACTTTGTAAAAATTTACAAAAATTTACAAAATTTATGAAAATTGTAAAAAATTGACTATAAAGGGCAATAACTCCTTAAGGGGTCAATTGACAATTTTGGTCATGTTGCCTCATTTGTAGATCTAACTTTGCTGTACATTATTGCTGTTTACAGTTTATCTCTATCTATAATAATGTTCAAGATAATAACCAAAAGCTGCAAAATTTTCTTAAAATTACCAATTCAGGGGCAGCAACCCAATAACGTGTCGCTTGATTGGTCTGAAAATTTCAGGGCAGATAGATCTTGACCTAATGAACAATTTTTATCCTCATCAGATTTGCTCTAAATGCTTTGGTGTCAGAGATATGAGCCAAAAACTGCATTTTACCCTATGTACTATTTTTTAGCCATGTCGGCCATCTTGGTTCGCGGGCGGGGTCATCGGACACATTTTTTAAACTAGATACCCTAATGATGATTGTGGACAAGTTTGGTTAAATTTGTCTTAGTAGTTTCAGAGGAGAAGATTTTTGTAAAAAATTTTAAAAATTTACGAAAAATGGTTAAAAATTGACTATAAAGGGCAATAACTCCTTAAGGGGTCAACTGACCATTTTGGTCATGTTGACTTATTTGTAGATCTTACTTTGCTGAACATTATTGCTGTTTACAGTTTATCTCTATCTATAATAATATTCAAGATAATAACCAAAAACGGCAAAATTTCCTTAAAATTACCAATTCAGGGGCAGCAACCCAACAACGGGTTGTCCGATTCATCTGAAAATTTCAGGGCAGATAGATCTTGACCTGATAAACTATTTTACTTATGTCAGATTTGCTCTAAATGCTTTGGTTTCAGAGATATAAGCCAAAATCTACATTTAACCCCTATGTTCTATTTTTAGCCATGGCGGCCATCTTGGTTGGTTGGCCGGATCACCGGACATATTTTTTTAAACTAGATACCCCAATGATGATTGTGGCCAAGTTTGGTCAAATTTGGCCCAGTAGTTTCAGAGGAGAAGATTTTTGTAAAAGTTAACGACGACGGACGACGACGACTGACGACGACGACGACGACGACGGACGACGGACGCCAAGTGATGAGAAAAGGTCACTTGGCCCTATGGGCCAGGTGAGCTAAAAATATAAATTTCGATACTTTGAGTTTCTAAGAGTAAAATGTAATTTGTTTTTGAAAATCTATTCCCATTACATAAGGGACAAAAGGATAGGAGGATTTTGAAAATGAATATGCAGTACTGACCTAGTGAAAATGAATAAATGATAGAAGTTATATAATTTAAATATGTTAAAAATTTGAACATAAAGCTGTTCATTGTCGACGTCCATAAAAAGAAAATTAACAACCACACAATATCTATATCTTCCATTTTGAGAGTCAACTCGAGTCGAGTTTTAATTTCACTTCGATTCTGGAAGGTTGCGCACATGCGCATTATCACTGATTTCTTAACTCTAGTCAACCCGAGTTGGATGAATCTAGGGGGTTTCTTAGATGCTCCGCCGCGAAAAAGCTAATAGCTTACATCCACACATCTGAACTTTGTTGGATAGTTCTCTCAGTGGCACTCGTACCACATCTCCTTATTCTTATATTAATAGTGCTGAAATGACTTAAACGCGGACCGCGATGAGGATCCCAAATTGAACTGTGACGTAAACGGTAAATTGAATATAACCGTTCGCTCACAACAGAGGCATGATACCAAGAAACTATCAACGTGGATTACACGTTTATTGATTCAAATCATCAGTATAGTAGAAAGGATAGATATGTTTACATTTTAACAAAACTTCTAAAATCGAGAATCAACAAAATTACGAATAAAATTAAAGTGTTTGTGTACATGCATGATTTATCAAGTGTTGTTTTCTAAACGTTCATTGGAAAATTATTTATAGATTACAAAAAGGAAAGATAAGCTTCAAGCATACAATAATTCATTATTTCTTACAGCTATATCGACGTCCAGGATCGCGTTCTTATACGACTAACTAAAGTAATTCTTATACCAGCTACAAAAGATATGTACATTCATGGAGGTAAAATCTGTACTATCTTCACAAAATTATAATTTCAGATTTTGATACTGTAGAAATCATTTGTGGAACATGTCGTCTTCAGAACAATATACCCAACTGACCTACTTTACAATATTATTATTTCATAAGTTCAAAATTCATCAATTATAGAATCAGAAATTCGATTCCCATCCCTCAAAAATGCAAAAATAATGTGCATCAAATGACAAAATAACCGACTGAAACATTTGCTACTACAGAAATCATTCGTGTAACATATCGATCGTCTTCGGAACAACCTACCCTATTAAATGACCTACTATACAAGGTATGCATACTAACCCCTGTTTGCCAAATCGATAGCTGTTTCTTTTCCTATTCCTGCATTAGCACCAGTAATGATGACATGTTTTCCATCTAATCTGGTCGTTGTGTTTGTATACCTGACACCAGCTGCGTAGCGTCTTACGCATACCAATGTTACACCTAAATTGGTAGTAAGTCGAATGTTTATGTAAAATATGATAATTCCAGAAAAAAAATGTATACAGGTATCAACCTGCTTCATGATATCACGAGTACCAGTTCCCAATCTGGTTAAAAATAAATCCCGTGTGTCAAAGATTTGCTTACAAGGTTCAGAAAATGCTCCATTCTACTTTCTGATTTAAAGACCTTTCGAGATCCTCTAGTTTTGTCGGAATAATACACACCTTCAAAAATTTGAAGACTGAAAATTCATTGGCTGAGGTAATAATTACCAGAACAGAAATTAAAACGTAGTGTCGCTAGATCCTTGAAAGCAAAGCATAGACAGAGGATCTGTATTTTATTCAGATTGATTAATTCCAACACAGACAAAAAGTTATGTAAATGAAATATTTTATATGGGCATAATTTTCAGTGCATTCTATTGACATTACAATAAACTGAGGTTAATATTCTTACACAGTTTATTGATGAGTAGTCCGAAAATTCCCTAACGTCTTATAGCCTTTTTAAGAATTACCCAAAGGCCGTGTTTCAACGTCCCCAGCAAATCCTTTAAAAAAATCGTCAACACAGTTCTAAAGTATCATGAGCACAGCATGCCAATAAACATCTATAGGTCTGACAATTATATGAAAAAACAACCTCTAGTGTAAAACACTTTAAACACATTAAACTTACCAACACCTACTGCAATACTCAATGCTACTTTGTGGCCAAGAAGAAAATTTTGCACAACTTCCATGACTTCTAAGTATTCCATTGCTATGAACAAGACTCTTTACACAGATAGAATATAAGAATGGATTACTTCCCTTGAATTCGTTCTACTTAAGTAAATTAAATGTTCTACTTATACTCAATATATTTACACTGTGTATATTTACTTGTAGCTTCTCTTTTTTAACAGGGAATTTATTCAAATATATGTGATAGTAAAAATAGGCGGAATAGTAAATTTCAATAGTGTAACTTAAATATTCCCAATTTTCCGATGCTTGACATTAGCGATAAGTTTTAAGTTCAGAAATAACAAAGACAGCGACGAACCGTTAAGGCATGTCTTATTATACATGTATACACATGGTCATACATATTTACTTAAAGGATGGAAGTTCCAAACATAGCGATAAAGTAAATAATCAGATTATCTGGTCTTGGTCAATTTGATATCTGTATGTACCTAGATCTACCTACCTATTACCCAATCAACTAATCCAATTATATAATTTAGTTGAATTAATATCTGGTTTAGGGAGCTGCCATTTGATTTTTATGGGGGGGCTAGGATGAAAAATTTTGTCCTGCATTTTTTTTTAATTGTAATCTCTGTCCTGCCTTTTTGTTTTTTACTCTATTCGGTCCTGCATTTTTTTTTTTTAGTTTATCCTGACTTTTTTTTACATAAATTGTCATCCTGCCTTTTTTTTTTGCAAAGTGTCTCATCCTGCCTTTTTTTTTACTCAAATAAAATTCAAATGGTAGCTCCCTTACAATTTATAGCTGGTCAAAATTTAATCTTTTCTATCGAAAACAAGGCGACAGTTTAAAATCAGTGTAGAAAAACGTCAAATTCTTGTATTTAATTATCATATAAATGTTCAAGAACTTTACCACAGGCACTTCTCTCTGAAAAAAATTCCTATATATATACTTTAATATATTTTCAGAGACGAGTGCCTGTGAAGTTTATAAATACGCATTTGTGTGTACCTTGTCCTTGCATATTGCGTTTTTGGAAATCGTTCCTAGTTAAGGGGATAGGACAAAATGTATATAACTCCCCTTTTCCACTTAGAAATACTTTTACCACCTCCCTTAAATTTTTTACGCATTTCCTTAAATGATCTTAAATCATCGTGATGTACTAATTGTTGACCTTATATCAGAAAAGACTTTACCAGCGACACTGAAAATGTACAAAATTAATAACAAAAGCAAGAAAGACCACTTCATTTATTCATTGTTATAATAGGTAATGATTATCTCCTCTTTTTTTTATATAAAATGCAGCTAGCCAGGCTAAAAGACTGCATAAGAAAACTTTCTATAAATAGAAAGTCAAGACTTAGTGTTAAACAGGGGTCATTAATAATGACAATGAGCTTGCTGGAGGACACAACTTCATGAAGATAGAATTTGATGAAGAAGCAAAGCAATAAGTCAAAATAAAAAGAACAAAATAGTTAATTACCGACTCCAGCTGCTGTTATTAATGCTATTCTGTGGTTTGAAATAAAACTCTGTATCTTTGTCGATGCCATTCTTCAGTGATCTCCCTTGTAGTTTTTACAGCGTACTATTTAATAACCTTTTCCTGCTATTTCGTCTATTTTTCTTCATTTCTTGAATGAAATATATTTTAATGGGACGTTTGTTTGATTTCGAAGTGGGCGACAATGGAAATAAATATCCTGGTCCCGATTAATTTGGAAATGGATAATCTTGCTTTATCACACAAGAAAATTAATTTATATCGCCCCAAACTAGCTCATGCAGTGCCCAAACTGTTCAAAATATATTGTTTGGATGAGCAGAAACTAAATATTTTGACCCTAGTCTGAGTGATTATAAATAATCTGGCTGCTTTAAAGCTTTAAGTTGGAAGCCTATCTTCTGACCTTATCAAATGATCCCCCTCCTCAGAATGACATGGTCGGCGTCCTCTTAGCCCTAGGTTACCAGATCTTACTAAATAAATTAATATCGAAATAACATAATCATTAACGAGAAAGTAAAGAAACGCCAAATGTTTCATACTGTTTAGAACAGAACATCTATTTATACTGGCGTTTTAAATAGTGACACTGAAACTATAGTAATATTAAAGACAAAATCCGTACTATAGATCATACTTAGAATATATGAGCCAGTCCATGCAAAAAGGTATAAAGAAGAAAAAATTGCGAAATTCTAAAAAGTGTGCATAATGATTGCTAGCGCACTTGTGATCTATAAAACACCGTTACTTTTCCTCATACGATTAAGCTGTAAGCTATACACACCTTTCAATGCTTACACCCCCCTCCCCCTTATTTAATTTTAGATTTTGCTCAAATATTTATTTTTTTTATTCATTTTTCCATGTATAGTTTAAGTGTCTTAACTTGCCACTTGATTATGTTTACCCGGGTAGCAGTGGGGATAAGGCTCTCGCTCACATAGCAGAAATCAATGCAATTTAATAGGGGCAACGGTTGTAATATGATTTAAAATAACTTAACTTAACTTTAATTTCACAAACATAAGATGACATTATTTTTTGCATTTTCCCTTACGTTTAACTGTTGTGTTCCTCTCTTTAGGCATAAGTAGAGATGATGAAAACTGTTGACCTTATCTCTCTATATAGTGTCGTAAATGGTTTTATTTCGGCTCAGTATAGCATTGTTCCGGGTAACAAATGATTTTTGCACTTGCCTTAGTACAACAATTCAGATATTTCTACGACTTTTTCCGTTTTAACTTACAAAATCGTCACAGAATTGACCGTTTTATGAATGTTTACGTTAGTACCATTATAAAGGAAGCAGTAATGTTTTGGGAATAATATTTTACGTGGTACCCTTTGATGACAATGAATCTTTGCATACGACGGTACATGAGCTACATATGTAGGTGTGCGGCAGGAGGATATTTTGGTTTTAGCGGAATACGGCTAAAAGCCTTGCTTATTTCGCGCGGAACTTTATGTTCACTTCAAATACAGCTGCATTGTCCTGTGTTTTGTATTTTGTTGGGCGTAATATTCATTTCCATCCTGTCTTAGGCAAAGTTATATTTTCAATTTATTACCAGGCTTAGCCTAGAATATTTATCTTTAGAAATTACCTTTTGGGATTCAATTCCGGGATCCCTGGTACAGTGGGCCACGGCAGCCCGCTCTACCAACTGAACTTAAATGAAACTGTGTAGTTTACTCACACGTTTGACTCATGACGATTTGAAGCCTGACATAATTACAATGAACACGTGTCTTTTTATGGAGTTTGTATACAATTCTCTATGTGTCTTTTAATTGTTTGTGTCGTTGGGTTGCTATTTCATTGACGTATATCCTATATCTCCTTCCCATGCACTTACCCGAAGTGTATGTTTCAAAGACTTAATCATATTAAGTTATTTTCAGTTCAAGTTTATTTCTCATGCCTCCCGATAAGTGAGTCACATTAACCTATTTTATACACTTCATTTATATTATATTTAGTTGATTTTAAATCATCGAAGTTCCGTTCTCCAGCACAAATTTCAGTTTCTTTCACCGAACTAATTTAACTGTCATTTATGATTACTTACGTCGTTGGGTTGCTATTTTAATGGCGTTTTGTGCACTTGTGAACAATACAATGTCAATGTTTACGTAATTAAGTCAAGAAGACGGTCCTTTCCTATATATACCGAAAGACAAGTGTTCGTTCTAGGTTAACTTCTTCGAAAAATATTATCTTATAATTCAATATCAAAACCAATTCTCTGTAATCACAAAAATATTATGGCATACAACGAAAAATATATCCGGGAAAGTATTATAATACGATTCAACTTCATACACTGAGCAAAAAATAATATTTCATGTTTTCAATATTTTTTTCTCAAAGATCCCTTTTTGAGTCGACTTAGATTAATTTATTTATTTTTTAACAAAATCTCCCAATCTTAGTAGTATGATAAAGTTCAATGTTCCATCCTGGACATATCTTTCATAGTGTGTGGTTGTAGTGGGGTTAAAAATCTGCAGATGGAAAAGAAAAAAATACTGGATATTTTCATTTGAGGCATTTTCTTATCTTGATTCTTTATGCAGTGGTAATACATTTTAAATTGTACGTTTTCTATAGTTCTGTAACAACATTGTGTTTATTATTTCATTCTCATAAAATGGTGTTTGCCCAGATATTAGATACACGCATGCTGATGAGAACCTTCCACCACTTTGAAACACCTTATACTGTTACAGTAAACTAATTAATTTTCGTGACTTTCGCCATCAGAAAAATGAACTGTGAATATAAATTGTGGCAAATATGTAAAACTTTGATTTGCCGCATATAAGTTGAATTAGAAAGTTAGAAAATGCAAAAAAGTTACCATGAAAAAAAGCTAGCGAAAGGGTTATAACTTTTCAATAAATATATAAAATAAGGAGATATTAAAGGTATGATTGCCAATGATAACTATCCGAAAGAGACCAAATGACGTGGATATTAGCATATAAGACATTCTGGTACTCGGTCAGGTAAGAGCAACCAAAAGAAGTAAATTTAAGCTTACAATAGGTGCAATATGGGGAACTGTTTTCCGATGATTTTGTCGTGTAACATAAAACAGTTAATTTTCCCCCCAAATTACACACTCTCATCAGCAGAGTAATAACAGATAATTGTTCTTAATAGGAAATCATTCAATAATGTTTCAGAATGATAAAGTGTCTATATCAACATGACAATTTAGATGAGTATCGCCACACCGCACATCAATTGGTTTCTAAAATCATAAGAGGTATGGCCAGAGTTCCCGGATATTGTTACAGTCCAAAGCCTAATGGAACCTAATAGAATTTTGATATAAAATTTGTTATTAATATACTTTAAACAATGATATTTCCGTGAGATCAACGTTTGCCACTTGAATGAATTTGACCTTTCTTCCGGTACGTTCGCGACCAATAGTAAAAAACCAAATATATATAAAATTTTAATAAATATATATTTGTAAAATATATAAAGGTGAAAAAGTATTTGTACATTTTACATACATAATTACATAAAGCAAAATGTCTCTATATATTGCTGCTTACGATAATTCTGATACAATATCTTAAATAATTTTTATTTTTTATTTTGCATTGAAGGATACGAAGAAGTCCAAATTATATCTTTTCTATTTAGATTGATTTTTGCTTTCGTAGCGTCCAGTGACAAGTATTGCATGCATATTTAGGGAGAGAACACATATTCTATAATTGCAACAGCTAGGTTGGTTCAGAAAGGCATGTCGAAGGGGATGACGAGCGGGGAATTTGGACTGCCAATGCAGAAATATGATCAATGACACTGTACATTCTGTATAATTTGCGAGTTTACCTTAAAGTTTATCACAGAGCTACATGTGTATTGCCTGTATCTGGTAAAGTGCCGTCCTATGACATGTTCGTATGTAGTCTCATTTTTATAATGGCGTTTTATACCAATTAATGTAAAACATGGTTTTGACTTTGTTATGTTGTTAACATTTACACTTCTGTACCCACGTCATATTTCATTTTCAGACCAAATGAGGATATACAAATTTATAATAATGCATATTGAGTATATTAAATCAATTTCGGTGATTTTTTTTATTTAGTTATAAACCAACGACATTTAGAATTGATAAGTACTGATTGTCTGTAAAGTACTCTACTCGACATTTAGCAGTATTCATTTTTTTAGTGGGAATAATATTTCCAACGGGAAACTGTGAAGAACATGTCTACCCAAGGACAGCTACCTTGCGAGATACAGCACGTTGAAAAATCCGGCCTGTCATTACAATAAACATCTGAAACGTGTTCTCGCAATGATAAAACACCACATATACTCCCTTCTACAGTTTCCTTTTATATAAAAGTTGAGACAAAGAACTTAATTAATTTCAAATCTAACCCCTTCGACTCATGAAAACTTCCTTTTTCATTAAAAACAGTTACTCATTTTGAGTTTAATTGTTATACAGCTATATTGACTTTTTTCAATATCAATTAAAAAATGAACATAATTATTTGAAGCTTGCAAAAACGATTTATCTGTATTTGGCAAAACCTTTCGGATTTTGGGCCCTCAATGCTTTTTAACTTACCCTACTTAACCTCTTACTTTATTTGGGCCTTTTAACTATATTTGTTTAGAGCGTCAATGAAGAGTCTTTTGTAGACGAAGTGCGCGCCTGGCGTACGACATTTAAATGATTTTATTCAGAAACATTTTATTTATATTTGATAAAAAAATGACAAGACGTTAGCAGAAGTAGCCTGATGAAATATATACAGTATTCTACCAGAAGAGCACTAGTTTATTGGTTACAACTTGCATCCGTGCATTTTTGCGCGTGTTTCGTTCAGAATTTTATTATTAGAATATTATCATCACAACGATTTATCAATCCTACGTTTACATGTATGTAAATATTTCAATTGTATCAAAAGTATTTACAAAATTCAACGGCGATCTATGTATAAGCCACCACCGAGCCATTTTGGTGTGTTCACGTTTCTCCAACATTTGATATTTTTGTATACAGGTAGATAATTTCTTGTTGGAGAAACGTGATTTT